CTCACAAAAATTGTGTTTGTGGGTGCCCGGTTAGTTCAGTGGGTAAAGCTGGCGACCCATGTACCGAGGCTGAGTCCTTGCTGCAGCTGCCCAGGGTGTGCGTGTCATGCTGCGTGTCATCCCCTCTCTCTGCCCCCCTTTTCTGTCTAAAACTCAATTAGATTTGAGAAATGCCAATAAATGCATTTAAATTGGTGTTTAAAACAAACATACAGTAAGAATTTAATGAGGTTGCATGCAAAATGTTGTCAAGTTAAGGCCTTTACAGACTGGGAATGTTTTTTTCAAATGATTCTCATCACCTTGTAAAAGATGACAAAGGAGTTCTGTAAGCTGCTGCCGTCTTTCTGCCAGTCCCTGTCCTGTATGGTCTGTGGTACGTGTGTGTATGGATTTATTTTTTATTTAATTGTGTCACAAATTTACATCGCTGCCGGTATGAGTGATGTGACATATTTGCCAATGAGTATGATGGCAAATTTTGTCACATCCCTGGGGTGTAAAGGCCTTTAGTGGGATATTTACAAAGACTACAGATGTACATGAACCCAGTAACACGTCATGTGCAGTTTCTGTGCATGTCTGGAAAGGAAGAGAACACAGAAGTTTTCTATGTTGAAATAAATACCACAGGTGGTCAAGATAGGTGTATGCATGATATTTTCTCTAATATCTGGAAGTACAAACTGACTTTGGGACATTTTTTAAAACAGGAAAGGTTACTCACCATATTTCAGAGTAGTAAATGAGTGATTAAAGCCTGTCTTTGAGCCTTGGATGGTTGAAGCTATGACCCAAGTATCATACTTGGTGTTGCGTGACAGTGACTTCAGAGTGTATGAGGTGGTGTTAGCTGGCACTGTTATGTCTGCAAGTGAGCAAATCACAGATCAGCACCTAAGACTGTCAGGAAAACCATCACTGTAGTCCAACACTAAATAGAAAGCTGTAAATGCAAAAATTCAAGCCTCTTCAGGATACCACATGACAGCTACATACTGTGTGTTTTGGTCCCACTTGTGTAGAATATCGTGTAGTTTGTGATGAAGCCTTGTCGGCTGTGTTGGGGAATCTCGTTCCACACCAGCTCTGCCTCGTTACATCCTGGTTTACCTTTCAGTTTAACAGCTGGGCCTTCCAATGGAACTGCAAACACAACAGCAACACAATGTGTTCTACTCATACAACTATAGTTATATAGCATTGCAGTTATGTAAGTGCAGTCCATTCACCATTTAACTGTGGCTTATCTGAATTCAAATATAGATCAGATGGCCTTCACATCATCAAGCACCAAGGCTTTCGGGGGAAATAATGGCAATGGAGATGACATTTTGTGTGTAAAACAAATAGACGTATGTATGAATACATATTAGACAGGAGAACACAGAATTAATTGAATATAACGAACCACTAAAAATTATTTGGAAATTACCAGGTAGCATGCTCCATGCATTTATGGAAGATTTAAGGTTCCTAAATGAAAACTAATCAAACAAAGTGAAATACAGTACACATAGCTATTTATATGATCTTTTTATGTATGCATTTACTGTGCCATACTAATATAAAAAAACATATGTTCAATGACATTAATTGAAATGTATGCCTTTAATAACATATTGCATTGTTTTTGGTTGTGACTTGATTTTTGCATTAAAATCACAACACAGAAAAACAAGAAGAGGTATATTGCATCATTTCAGGGTTGTCCAGCAGATGGCAACACAGACTGGTCATGAAGACCTGGACAGTGTGTGTATTCAGTACTAGAAGGTTTACGTTGTCCTCTGCTGGACAGCCCTGAGCTGATGCAAAACAAATCTTCACTTTGTCTGTGTTGTGATGTAATGTTAATTGTGGAATGAAAAATTCATGTCACAAAGAAAAACGATTAAAAGGCAAAATAACTGTTATTAAACATATGTTTTTAATTTAAATATGACACAGTAAATGCAACATAAAAAGGAATATCAAGGCTGTGATGAAAACATACTTAGGGATATTATATTTCATTTCTGCCTCTTAAATGTTACGCAATGGATCTTTAAATTGAATTCTTATAGAATGTGAAGACAAGATGACAAGAAAGAGCTGTTGATTATGGGGCAGTCTCTCATCCACTACAAAAAAATGAACATTTGGGACTGCAAAGTATTTTTATGATCCAATTCTTACTTGCTTTTAATATTCACAATACCTAAAAATACAATGATGTACTTTTTATGAGTCACTGATAAGAATGTAATCTTACCTCCTTCCTCCAGAAAGGCTTCTTTACTCGCTGGCTTCCCAGTCACTCCAGAGTATAATGGATACACAGATACAGTGTAGCAGACAAACTTCTCCAGGCTGCCTAGATTTGACATTGAGATCAAATTAAATGTTAGTTTAATTATATCGTCATAGTTACAGCCCTGCTTCATTCTCACAGAGGACAGATTTTGGGTGAAATATCCCTTTAATGGCATGTTGAAGTCATACTACCAACTCCACTCAAATATTCTGTAGATTAAAGAGATTACCTTTAATGACAGTGTTGGTGGTACTTCCTTTTTCTCTCTGCCAGTCTATCTGACTACCATTGACCCACTCCACCACATACTCTGACACAGGTCTGGCAGGGGGTTTCCATTCCAGACACAGCTGGCCCCCATTTGGCTGCACTTTCAGGTCTTTAACTGTAGAGAGCTCTGCAACACACACACAAAAAATACACTTGACATCACATTGTTGATGGAATGCTGCCTAAAGTCTCATTTCTCAACAAGACATCTATACAAGACTTTATTTACTCAGAATTTCTATCTCCCATTTACAAGAGTGAGGTCACCCACCTCTCTCTCTCTCTGTCCTTAAAAAAAAAAAAAAAACATAAAAAACCATAGCCCTATTTGAAAGCTAAATTAAAATGGAGTACTGTGTCATCTTGAAGTCCAAATATTGCTTCATCTCAACAATGACTTCTTCCACTGACAACTTCACAGACATGTTACCACTAACAGAAGTCCTTACAGTAGTCAAGATGAGCCACCAACGAGTGGCTATAATGGTAGCATATGACAGTGGTGTATAGTGTTGCAGCACATCCTCCATGCTAGTGTGTGAGTCTAGACTGAAAATAACACATTGGTTTATACATTGCATATGTGCCTTTTTATCATGAACACCTACCATTTGCTTTTTCAGTGATGACTAACGATGCCTCAGGAGATTTTCCCACAGAATTGACGGCAGTGACGTACACTTCCACGGATTTCTTGTCATCCAGGGAAATCTGTTTAAGAATAGTGATTTTGCGCTGGCTAGGGCTGGGGTCTGCCTCCGACCTGTTGACTGGGATACTCTCCAACTCCCCACTTCTATTCTTGACTTTATCCTTGTGGTTTTGAATCTTTATGTCAAATCTTATTATCCTCCCGTTGGAGAGCACAGGATCCTGGCAGGGCACAAGTCATACACTGTAAGTATATAACATTACCAAACCTTGTATAGAAAAACAACTGACTACACAGCAAAAAGCTGTTTCTTAAAAGAAAGGGATACCTTATGTTAAAGAAACCCTTTGGATAAATTTTAATATATTTTCAAATATCAACATTTGAATTCAGTCTGTGCTGTCGATTCAACTATTTTAATGATGATAAAACTACTCTATAGGATAAAGTTGGCCTTATTCTAGAACTATAAATTGCTCATTCCTTTGTTCCACAGAACTCAATTACCTACCCTCCAAATAAAAAACAAAACACATTCAATCAACACAGTAAGGGGAATTTATGCTCAAACTCTGCAAACAACTAACTACATTTCTGATCTCTGACAGCCGCTTTATGTTGTTAAACCTTGTTAATCCCATTAAAAGAATAAGCCACCAAATGCAATGCATGTGTTATTTTATTAGACAATAAAGGCTGACTGCAGACAACACTATTGTATTTTATTAGGATACATTTATTGTAGGTTTTAGTCTCCTCCTGGCTATCAGGGAAGAACTCAAGAACTAAACCATTGCTTGAGAACCCTTTACAGTAACAGTACATGATTGACTGATAAGGATTTAGCATTTAAAATGAACCTTTGTTCCGGGGCAGAGCAGAGATGCACTGTAGCATGTCTCCTGGCTGTGGTGAATGGGTGGAACCTGTTTTGTACACCGCAGCAACCTGGTGATTAAACTAAGTGCGCATCACAGCGGCTGTACTGCAGCTACCGGAACCTACTGCAGCTACCGGAACCTACTGCAGGCAGTGTGTATCCAAGTCCATAATTTTTTCTGAATTGGTTGGTTTCCTAAGCATGCGTATCCTTTGACTGCATCTCTGTACTCAATGCCCAAAGATGAAACTTATTTATTGATTAATTTTTTGAGGCACATTTCTGTTTCTACTGACTGTTTATTTCTGTCGTCTCTGCATCTCTTGCAAGGATTAAATGAATTACTCTTTTTGGCTTTTTGTTCGCAGGACTTTTGTTGCACTGGCAGTGGTTGTGTGCGTTTGTGTCGGATATGTACCACTCAGAGAAGAGGGCTGCTTGTGCTCTCACACACAGATCAGAGTGGAGGAAAGAAACAGCCAGAGTTGACGATGGCTGCACCATGCGAAAGCTTCATGAATAAAACTAGCTGTGTGACAGCTGATATAAAACAAAAAATGGGATCGGATCAATAAAGGTCACCATAGCTGATGCCGATCAGTTGAAAAAAGGCCTTGATCGGCGTCAATACCAATTGTAGAGATCTGATAACGACATCCCAAATTAACAGTAAAATATAAACCATCTTCTCCTTTTCACCAAGCAGTTAGAAATTATAATTATTTTTATTTGTGTTAAATTGAGTGTGTTATTTACCTTACAAATAAACTGCACTTGTCGTGCTGTGCTCTCATCCTCAGTGATGTTTCTCCATAAATCCGGTTTACTTCTTGGTTCTAGGCCAAAGAAAAAGAAAAGGAAAGAAAATCCTTTACTTTACCAAAAGGATAACATAACTCACAAATCCACAATTCAACATTAAAGTGGGTAGATTCACAGTCTTTTCACCACTGTAATATTTTTGTTGTTGTACTGGCGAGCATCAATTAGGTTACAGGAAACACGAACTGTCTTTGCAAGCCTGCAAGCACTATGACAGTCAAGCCAAATACAGTGCTCTATTTGAACAATGCAAATGTTCTTTGGATGCAGCTAGCTTAACTTGATGTCAGTGCTGACTGGGTCCAATGAGGGTCTCATAGATTTAAGACTCATTGCATCCATCAGGTACAATAAGTAAACAATTTATTAGTCAGAATTAGTTAGTCTGTCTTTTAACAGGATCCTGTATTTGGTGGTCAAATACTTTTACTTCGTGAAAGTAGTCTGAACTGGCAGCCATATAACTCACGGTCCTCTGGTGTTCTCTCAGTAGCATTGGTACTCCAGTTGCTCCAGTAACCACGTTCTATAGCATTTTTGCAGCGCACCTGAGTGTCATAAACTGTGTCTGGCTGAAGGTTCTGTAGCCTGAAGGACTGTATACCTTTGGCAGTGTCCACAAGCGGTACCTAAAAGATATCAAACACATCTCTTTTACAGAAAAGACCAACAGCAGACTGTTTGTTTGACCAGACATCCATATATACAAAATAACACAAAACTATGTACAACATGGAGGAAAGACACAAATAAAGATCAACATTAAAGGTATCCCTAAAATTTCAGTCCAGGTTGATGTGCTGACACCTGTGATTACTAGTCTGTAATACTCCAGATCCCATATTTAGTTGGAACTGACACATGTATCAACCACTGGAGGTAGAAAGTGTAACCACATCAGCTACTCTGTCAGAAATACAACAGAGGAAGAACTATTCTACAGTAATGCTAGCTCTAGCTTAATCCTATCTTAGTTAGCATCTTAGTTTAGTGTTAGAATGCCAACTAGGGATGCACTGATTGTGAAATTTTGGGCCGATACTGTGTTTAAAAAACTATTTGGTAATTGACAATGCCAAACAAAACGTTTTTTGTTGCTATTAATTCCCCCTTTTGTGCCTGGGAAACAAAGAAATCTACAAAGATAAGACTCTCTGCCTTGTTGTAGCTCAGTCTATTTCTCTTCTCATCCAAGATGTGGGACACAGAGCTGAACGGCTGCTCGCTGTCCATGCTACTGCATGGAGCACATCCGTATTTGCATTTAATTTGTGTCAGTGCTGGAAAATGGAGGTTATTATTTCTCAAATATTCAGGTGTGGACATAACTAGCACAACATATAAACATGTTCAAATGAGAAACAAACATACTTACATAAGTCCAATTTTGAGATCCACTTGGGCAGAATCTGATTTCATATGTTAATTTCACATAAACTTCATCAATAGGATGAGCCCAATTTATCAGAAGGGAGGTAGGAAACGTCCTTTCTGGAATGACTATGACATCTGATGGAGGGTTTGTTTTCACTGCAACAAAAGACACAACAAGCTAACAACACACGAGATGGCGATCATCAAACATCATTAATGCACTGGAGTCACTGGAGGCGGCTGTGGCTCAGAGGTAGAGCGGGTCGTCGCCCAATCGGAAGGTTGTTGGTTCGATCCCCGGCTCCTCCTGGCACGTGTAGCAATGGGGTTTTAGGTTCTGATAACAAAAACTTACAGCCTTTCTTAAGGTAGAGCCCGTGCATAAATCTGCTTTTGTTCAGGACAACATAGGCTGACACATTCTTGCAGCGGCACAATAACCATTCACGTTTTTCACTGGTGATGGGGACAGTGACACTGAGAGCCGTTTTGTTGATCCTGGTGATACTGTTCTTTGGGTACAACAGTTCCAGATAATATCCAGTAGGAGGGTCATCTGCTGTAACTTCATCTGTGTTGAATGATCATACATGTAGCTGCAAAGTCAGTCCCGATCCTAGCACTGGAACTTGTGGGGAATCTGGGGTGATATCACCAAATGGCTGCCATTTTCTGAAAAACCACCGAACACAAAAAACAATGTAATTAAATTTTCCAAATCAACATGCTGCTGTGACTGCTGAGCTAGCAAATAACACACACCCTAAGCAATAACCCAAAAAGTAAGAGGTATATCAGCTGGCAAGTTTGATAAGACGTGGACTGGTATCTACTTTTTGATCCAACATTTGACTCAGACTAGGGCTGGGGCGATAAATCGATTTTATTGATTAATTCGAATTCGTAGTTAAACACGATTTATTTTTAGTTAAAATCGGTTTTCTCATGAACTTCCACAACACCGGCGCTCCCTTTGGGCTCCCGTAATCAGAAGTGCGGCTGACCCCTCCCCCGCCTCTCCCAGATACACACAACATGGCAGCAAGCCAGGATGAGCTCGTCCCCAAAAAAAGGCACAGTGGTCGTCGGTTGTTTGGAACTGGTTTGGTTTTGTGGCGTCCAACAGCTAACAAACCACGACCCACTGCAAAGTTGTCTGAAAGCTGTTGCAACCAAAGGTAGCAGTACGACCAATTTATTCCAGCACCTCCAAGCAGAGGCATGCAGCCGAGTGGGAGAAATGTAGCTCTCTGCGAGATATACAGGACCGCAGCCCAAAACACCCACTAAAAAAACAGTCTACAGTGGATTCATTTTCACATTGTGTCCCGTATGATAAGAAAGGGACCCGGAGGAAAGCTATTACTGGATGCAGTCGCGTGCATATTGCTAAAGATATGGTTCCTATTTACACAGGGTGGAGAAAGCCGGGGGTCGAAACAAAATAAAAGCAAAACTTGTTTTGGAATAATTTCTTTGTCATTTGTAGTGT